TTATCCTGACGACTTGTCTCTCTTTTTTTTCCCCCCCTGTCTTCTATTTTTTTTTCTTTATCAGTTCTTTTTTTTGTATTTGTTATTTGTGAATTAACCAGTTGAAATTACAGAGGAAGTATTTTGATAGTAAAAAACATCCAGTGTTTTTTATGTTTGATTACTTTTATTACTTGAAATTGGGTGACTAAATTTAGTCATAGACATTCACTAATGGAAGGAAAGAGTTTTGTTCAATTTTTTTTTTATCTAGATAATAGAACATGTATAAATTCAAAGGAAGCATGACTAATGACTAAAGTATTAAATTGATAGTCTTGTGGGAATGACTAACTTAAATAATCATGGTATTCGATAAGGAACTTGTACAGTACAACCTCCACTTTTCTTATGCAAATTCTAGGGGTATCGCATCACTCGTACCCTCCAGAATTTGGGAGAAAAAAAAAAACACAGAAGAATGCTTCTACATTTATGTACTTCAAAAAAAAAAAAAAAAAAAAAAAAAAAGTGTAAACATCCACCATAAGCTGCAGTCATAGAGATATATAATGTTGTTAATCTGTAAGGTTACTTTTCATGGATTTTTCTCTTGTTTACTTATGTGTCACATGTTTTTGTTAGTTTATCACTTTGTAATGTTTCCAAAATTTGATTACGAGGTGACAGTGAACGGATTGAGATTGTACTGTGCTTTTTTGATTGTGACCTTTACAATTGGCATTCCTTGTCTATCCAGACCTAGAGGAGTTGATTGTAAGTAGATGGCGGAAAGATCTCCAATTTCCCAGTTTCATTTACGTTTATTTGTTTATCATTATTATTTCTTAATTCAGAGTCACTGTGTTTCACTCTTGTGCGGTTCCCCCCGTCCACTACTTAACATTCTCCATTCTGGATACGTGAGAGAATGCTTTCTAGATCATAAGATAGATTGTTTTTTTTTTTGCTGTGATTTTGTATTTACGTTGTATCAGACATTTGAGTTTTGTAGGCTAAATATACATTGCATTTTTCCTTGTGTGATATTCAGGTTATTTATTTGGACATCATGGAGATAGATAATTTGTTAACTGTAGTCTTAATATGTTTTTTTTTATTTTTTTTTTTAAGAAATTACCTGTTGTAGTCAAAGGAAGAGATTTAGTTTATCTTCATGGTTATTAATGGAGAATATAATTTCATTAGAGAAAGAAAAGACTACGTATATATCATATGATCTGAGAAGTGGCAGTGATAGAATATAAACAGAAAGATGAGGGTTTGGAGTTATAAGAAATATTCATGCTAGAATTTTAGTAACGTTTTAAATGGTTTTGACCTTTTTGCCATTTTGTTATTGCATATACATGATACAGTAATGATGCTCATGACATCAATTTCTCATTTTATGTTTTCCCCCCCCACCTTACAGAAGTCACTATGAAGGGTGGGTAAAGGAGAGGGGGAGGGGGGGAGGGGGAGGGGGAGGGGGAGGGTATGGAATGAGGATAGGGCAAGGTGAAGGGGAAATGGGATAGGAAGAAGGGAATGGAGGAATCCTAGATATAGGAAAGTCATAACTGGGATATGATATCCAGTCATTTTGGAGGCTGGATTTGAATGCTGTTCAGATGCTGAGACAGCAACTTTGTTTGTCTAGTGCAGATTTATCACATAGTATATACATATATATACATATATACATGCTTGAATGTGTGTGTGTGTGTGTGTGTGTGTGTGTGTGTGTGTGTGTGTGTGTGTGTGTGTGTGTGTGTGTGTGTGTGTGTGTGTGTGTGTGTGTGTGTGTGCATTGGCATATGTATGTATATATATATATAAATATGTATATATATACACACATAGAATACTTGTTTCTATGTGTTTCTTCAGTTTCAATACAATTTTTAGAAGAGAAGTTCAAGTCACTCTTTCCATTAGTAGGGCTGAGGGCATTATTTTTTATTCTTTGTTTTAGGAATCTGTAATACGAAGGTAGAAAGTATAATTGATTCAGTAAGCTAAATGGAAGATTGCTCTATATATTTCACTATTCTATTTTCATCTGAAAACAGTGGAAAGTTTGTAGTTCAATAGAAAATTTGTCATTGTTGAAATCAGAAAAAAGAGAAAATATAAAATGAAAGATGAACATTGCTGAAGATGTGATACAATATCTGCCTATGCATCGTGGCAGAGAGTTGCATGGTCCAAAGGCTCCTGTGCTGGAAACAAAGCCTTGCCAGTGGAGTAGGTCAGGGATTCAGTCTTGAAAGAAAAAAGAAAGAAAAGAAAGAAAAAGGGTGTAACTAAAAGCTTCTCGGATTGTTCGTTCAGAGTTGGCTCTTTCCCACGTCTCCAGTTCCAGCAAATCCTCATAATTTGCTCGTGAGGTATGAAGGTTATCGTAATGTTGTTGAAACTCAGTTGCTATGTGAAATTAATCAAGCTGCTGAAAATAGAAGATTAAGTTAAATTAATCATAGTTGTTACCTTATACATTTAACACAATTGCTTGGAAGAGACTATTACTGCTGTTGGAGTGATTACATCAGTCACAGTCAGGGGATAATAGGCACAGTACCAAGGCACTCCTAGTAGTGCGTAAAGCCTATTAGTATCATTCCTAATATAGACTTGGATTAGCTTGTGAGACACTGTCCTGCGGCTAAGGAAAAAAAATCCAAATGGAACACTATTGTCCCGAGTGGCAGGAGGATGGGGGAAAGATCAATTCTGCGGGAACTACTCTGTAAATTATCTTCGGTATTTTATGGCAGTGAAGGCTACCCCTAGCCAGAATGCATGCTCATGGTAACAGCGTTCATCTATTTTCACACAGGTGGTGGAGAGCAAGGTCACCGTTAATGGCAAGAGGCTGCACGTTGATATCAATGGCGACGAGGCTCAGGAGCTCCCGGCCAGCAAGGGGACCAGTAGCACGCCGCCTATCCCCCCTCTCATCTCCTTCAGGGACGTGTCCCTCCTCTCCTCAATTCAGGCGTTCCAGTAAGACCTGCTTGATCATTTTGTCAAAATAATTTTAAAAAGGATATAAATATGAATTCACTAACTTACAAGGTAAAATGTGGAGTGATTCTTTACCTATCATAATTTTCTGTACTTGTCATGGTGAACGGCTTTCGCGATTATTCATTTGCTTTCACATGTTTTCCAACCTTTGTCGTAATGACAGTAAGTAAAAAAATATGTTTATATTCTGTTGAATGAGAACCTAATTAAACCTCTTGATTTACAGGGGCAATAATACCTCCACATCACTGCTATGTGTGGATGGAACCCCTCAGCCATGTAGCCGTAACACCAAGGTCCTGAGACAAACCATATCTCAGGGAAACCCTCCTCTGACCGCACAGTTGTCATCGCTGTCCTCTGACGGCAAGGTGGAGCTGAGTTTGGTCTTGCAGCCGGAGGAACAGCACCGGGCTAGATACCAGACGGAGGGATCTAGAGGTGCTGTTAAGGATAGGTCTGGATTGGGCCATCCCACTGTGAAGGTGAAGTACTTGCTTTTGCACTGGTGTTTTGCATATGTAATAATGTTCGTTTGTTTTGCTACTCTTATGCAACTCTCTTATTATGTGCGAATAGAATTGAGGATTTTCTTTCAGTTATTGTTCAGATAAATGGGATTCATTAGACACAGTTTCCTATTTTTAAACAAAAATACTAATGATGGTCTCGTTTACAGCTTTTTGGGTACAATAAGGCCACCACGCTCCAGGTGTTTGTTGGGTCAGACTCAGGAAAGACAGGGCCACACATGTTCTACCAGGTGTGCCGTGTTAGTGGTAAGAATTCCACACCATGCAAGGAGAGGAGAATTGATGGCACTGCAATCATTGAGGCACAGTTGGAGCCAGAAAATGACATGACAATGAGGTAAGGATATTGTATATAAGATTTAGTTGGGCATTATTATTGCGTGGATGGCAATGAAAGATGGAATTTTAACATATTTGTTTTATTTTCATTATTTTGTCAATATTGTTATCATAACTTCTGGATTTTTCAGAATTTTGTAATTGAATGGAAAATTATGCTTATCTTCTATAACAGGTTTCAGGTTTATCTTAACTGTCACTATAATCCAGAAACCTCACAATGTACCCTGTCAAACTTTTCATCCAAAAATGATAACAGAAAGATGGAAAAAAAAAAGAGAAAAGCATATAACTTCCGTCTCTAATACTTCCAGTTGTGACTGTGTCGGCATCCTGAAGGAGAGAAATGTGGATGTGGAGCACAGATTCAAAGCCGTTGTTTCGAGAGGCCGCAAGAAGAGTACCAAGTGTCGCCTTGTGTTCCGTACCTGCATTACCCTCAGCAATGGTGCTCAAGAAACACTGCAAGTTGTCTCGCAGCCAATTGCATGTAGTAAGTAGATGTTATGAGTTGTCCTCTCTTTATTTTGCTTTTTTTTGTTTGTATATGTTTTTCATTTCTTTCTGTCTTTGAATGAGTATTATCCATGATAGGGAAATCCTAATCTACTATATCTGTAAATCTGATTCATAAAACTGTAATGTTCTGAGTTATAAGAATAATTATTTTGTATCAGTCATTTGCTGCACAAATAAACATTCCATATATATTATATTGATATCATGAAGCACGTATTTCTAACAATCAAAACTGATATGTTTCCCTTCCTTGTGTCCCCTTCCTACCCTAGCTCAACCCCCCGGTGTACCTGAGATCTCACGCAAGTCCCTGGAAAAGTGCCCCGTGACGGGTGGGGAGGAGATGTTCATCTTTGGGAAGAACTTCTTGAAGGACACCGTTGTCACTTTCCAACAAAATGGTGCCAAATCCCAGCCGATATGGGAGGAGAAAGTCAGCCCTGATCCGGAGACTCTCCAGCCTGTAAGTACAGAAACGTGACTAATTATAGTTGTTGCGTTACTAGAAGCTGTTGAAAATATGTATTCTTAAAATTTTGTATTGAGATGAAAATGCTGTTCCTTTCATTGTTTTGAATAAAAGTTCTTTATAGAAATGAAAATTCTTTAAGCATGTTACAAATAGTTTTTGAAGATAGATTCAGAATTTTGGTATGTGAAACTTGTCATTTAAACCTTATTTTTATTAGCTAATCCTATTTCAGTACACAAAGGTTTAACACAAAGTGAGGACCTCGCTCAATACTAAAGATCAAATTCATTATTCTGAACCTCTCTCCCGCACTGAAACTTTTACCATAGCTTTTTTCTCTCTCTTGCAGATCCACCTGATTGTGACAGTGCCCAAGTATTATGACCAGAACATCACGGAAGAGGTGACTGTGCAGATGCTGGTGTCATCAGGTGGTAAAGTGTCGGAGCCCCACTCCCTGACCTATTATCCGCTGGTGACCAAGAAGGGTAAGTTTGCCCGGCGGTGGTTGGCTATGCCCCCCGTTGTTCTAGCTTCAATCCATCTGTGCTGGCCCATTCAAGGGAAGGGAGAGGAGGAGTCAGTCAATCTTTTTTGCTTTGATATTGTTTTTTAAAAATCAATGAAGAAAGAGAGAAAAAGAAAGAAAAAAATATACATGTAAAAGGAAGAGAGAGAGAGAAAAAAAGAAAGAATAAAAAAAAAACTTGTACAGCAGATATTGTTCAAGAGTTTGTCTTGTCTTTTTTTTTTTAATGGAACAAAGCTCTTCTTCTCTATTGTTATTGTCCTGTGTAGTGTCGACCTTTCATTCCAAACTCCCCTCCCCACCACAACCTATTCTTTTGTATTCAAGTCCCGGTAGTAACTAATAAATTTTTTTGAAATCCTTATTCACCTTTCTCGAAGAGCAATTATTTAAAGACATTATTACTGATTGCATATTTTTTTGGTTTACTAGTAAATCTCTAATAAAATAAATAGTCAAATATTCCAGAAAAGTGCCTTCTCTTCCCGTGATTACCTGCTTGATCTTATAACATCTCTTATTGCGATTGTTTGGTTGCAGTCTTCCCAAATCATTCCTGGAGAAGAGTTCAGTAATCAGAAGTAGTTTTGCCTCAATTTTGTGGTTATCAGTTTCTTTATTCATTTTATTTTTTTGATCTGGTCAAATCTCTTTTGCACAGTGTTTGCAAATAACGGCATCAGGCAGGTAGGCCGGCTCCATTAATCACCAGCACACATTGCGCCCCCGCACTCTCTTCTAGAGCCTTGCCAGGGATAGCAGTTTCCTCTCGGGTCAAGAGAAGGGAGGGGCAGGAGGGGGGTCCTGGAGGGATGGGGGGGATTTTTTTTTTTGCATCACTCTTGGCTCGTGGATTTTTTTAATTTGTAAGGGCAGCAGGTGTTGGTGTCAAGTGGCAACTTGGCCATGATGGCATGGGTGCGACACTCCTTCACCCTCTTCGTAAGGGCAGACTGCTAGTCCATAGTGCATCATTGTGCCTACTTACTCTGTGACAACTTTGTGGCTAGTTCTAGCATTCATGAATTTTTAATTTTGAGTTTGTTGTTGTACATAGAGGAAGACGAAAAGAATGAAAGAAGAGGAAGGAAAAAAGATAGAGAAAAAAAGAGAAAAACAAAAAAGAGGTTCCTTGCCACTTGATTTTAACAGTCAGAGTGGCACTTTTGGTTCTTTTCTTTAGCATTCTTTTAAATTTTCAGAGTTCTGTCCACAACTAGCCGCAAAGTTGCATAGTCTGCCCTTCCATTGTCAATGAGAGTGCTATATTATTGAGTGAGTTGCTGCCATTGCAAGTATAGCAAGGCTCTGGAGGAGCGTTGTCGGGGGCACGGGACGGGGCCACTAACACCCCCCTCTCATCGCCTGGTGTGTATGCAGACCACATCAGGCTGCATCCTCATCAGATGGGGTAACACATGCACAAAACTCCCTTGCTGTAGATTTGCCTTCCCTGTCAGATGTCCCGGCATAGCTGGAGACCTTGCTGGATCAGTTAGCACAGTCACCACCCCCCTGGTACAGAACAAGCATGTGTTGCCTAGTAATTTGATCATCTGGGCTTTCTCAATCATTATCATGAGGGTGGTTGCCCTGCTGTCTGGTGGAGATCTGGGCCATGCCAGTTTTACCAAGGCTGATTGAGCCCAGGTCTCACCTGTACCATTCTCATGTCACTGCCATGGTGCATGTGCAAGAAGATTTAGGAAGCCCCAGGAAGCTCAGTGCCTCCCACAAATAAACCCCCCAAAATGCGGTGCCTCTCTGTTAGTTACATAGGTGTCGCTGATCACTCTCTTGTCTGAGATTGGCGTGGTGTGGCGGCGCACTCGTGGCAGCGACGCAGCCGTGGTCCCGTAAGTGCCGGGGACCTACCCAGCAGGTGGAGTCGCTCGCTTGCTGCTCTATCACCCTCACCTCTCACCTGCCATCTGTCACTCCACACACTCACCCACCCATTGTCACCTTGCACTCTCTCATGGACACATGTCTTGTTTTTTTTAAATTTTATTTTTGTTATTTTTTTTGTTTTGTTTTGTTTTTGTGCTACCAAAGTTATTCTCCCCCGTCAGTTTTAGTTTGTTACATTTACGAGTTTACTTTTTTTGGTTGTTTTGTTTTTTATTTGTCACATACATTTTAAACTTTACATTCTTGAACCTTGACGCATCATGGGCAGACCCATTCACATGTTTCTTGAACTGGTGTTATCATGAGTGTTTTTCATAATTAGTATTCATTTGTTCTTGTGGAGGCCAAATCATGCAGAATCATCCTTAGATACTGTAATTTAAGAACCATATCACCCTAGAAGAGAAGCTGAAGTACTGTGCTTACTGTATACTATTTTTGCAGTGTGCAAAAATCACTCCATTGCTTCAAAAGTCCATGATACATGCCAAAGGTCTCACTGGCACTGGTTTCAGCATTTTCCTTTTTTATCATTTTGGACAGGAACATGACACATGGATAATCTTTTTACAACAAATGATCACTGAAAGAACCATTCCATCTATCAGGCCTTGGAACATTGCCTGACTCACCCTCATGTCCAACTCACATCATCACCTTTTGTCATTGTGACTCAATTCTGCATAACTGCACTGACAGCCATTCTGATGCTCTTGCACCAGTCAGACTGATATTTCTGCCTCTCCCCCTCTCTCTGTCTCTCTGTCTATCTGTCTCTTTCTTTCTTTTTTTCTTTTTTTCTTTCTTTCTCTCCCCCCTCCCCCCCTCTCTCTCTCTCTCTCTCTCTCTCTCTCTCTCTCTCTCTCTCTCTCTCTCTCTCTCTCTCTCTCTCTCTCTCTCTCTCTCTCTCTCTCTCTCTCTCTCTCTTCCCCCTCTACCCCCCTCCCCCCTTCAATCTCTATTGTTTTTCTGTGTGCCTTTCTTTTCTCTTGTCTTCTCTCTCTTGTTTCTCACCTTTTACATGCCATCAACCAACACAAATAGCAGTAGCCATTCAAACATTTTTTTTCATATTCCACTGTTAGTTTACTATTTTGTGCTTCTATTGATTGCATTTCCTTTTTGCAATGCCATAGAAATGTTGAAATTTCTGGGCTGTAGGAGCACAGCACATTAAAGTTGTGTCATTTATATTTGCATCACTCAGAAATGGATGACATTTTTCACTTGAATTAATCATTTTTTCATTGAGATATCCATTATATTCATTGAGATATCCATTATATTCATTGTTGAAATAGATGGTCTATTTGTCTGTCATATAGCTTTGAGGCTCACGCATTTCTGCTGTGTTTGCCATTTGTTGTCATCTCTCAAAAAATTAAATGGTGTGAGTATTTTTTTAACTATGTAAAAAATAGAGAGAGAGAGAGAAAAAAAAATTGATAACTTTTGCCCAGGTGGTTTTCAAGGAACGTTAACAGTTAGTTGCTGCCACTGTTGCGGTTATTCAAACATTTTCGTCATTCAGTGGAGGAGCGTGCAGGTAAGTTTCGTGAAAGTGATTACACAAAAAATTTCATAATAGTTATAATGAAGATTAAAGATATGTCTGTGGTAGTCATGTACTAAGTATTTGGATAATTTTAAAGACAGAAATGAGTAAGAAATTATTGGCCACAGTAATTATTTCTTTTTCTTGACTATATAAAGTGCACAAAAATTCTGCGTGTCTTTTTTTTTATGATATATATAGTTTTTTTGTCATACTGCATTTCAACAATATTTAAATTTTCAAAGCATTTTGTTGAAAATCTTGAAAGTTCTTTTTCCTTTATATTTCACTCAACATATTTTTTATTCTTTTATGCTTTTGATATAGTTCAATGTGGCCATTTATGAAAGTAACTAAAATTTTTAAATGTAATATGTAGGAATATTTTTTGTCACAGTTGGAAGTGTAGAGAGGTCAAACAATTTTATTTGGGGAAAAAAAAATCTGAACTGTTAATTGTCTAGTTGTCCGGAAAGGATGTTTAAAAACAAACGCGAAGGAAAAAAAGGGAATGAGGGAGGTAAAGAAGGTAAAGAAAAGATATGTCTACGTAGTTCTAGTTGTGCCCCCCCAAAAAATTTTCCAAACTTTGTGGGACTTCCAATTCACTGTGTGGGTACTTGACCAAAGGGAATCCCGACAGTCTCAAAATCAATGAGAACAGAGGAAGGGAATAGGGAAGGGAGGCGGCCCATGCTTAAAGACCCTCCAGACACTCTTTAAAGAAATTTTATGTTGCGTTCCACACTTAACACATTCTCAGAGCTGATCCAAACTGTTTCCTGTGTCTCTGTCCATTCCCCCCCTCCTCCCCCTCCTCCTCCCCCCCATTGCTGTTGTCTGTTGTGTCAACCTGGCCCCCCGTTGGCTGAGGCAAAAGACCCATCCATTTCTGAAAGCGTTCATCATGCATAGAAGACTTCTGTCACTTGTGGGACAGAAGCGGCATCACATTTCAGTTCTCAGTGCAGTTATTTGCAGCTCGTCATATTTCATATTCACAAGTTATTTTCTTCAGCTTAGTTCAGATTTAGCTTGTCATTTTAAAGCAAGTTATTATGTTTTTCCTTATATATCTATCTCATATGTATATATATATATATATATATATATATATATATATATATATATATATATATATATATATATATATATATATATATTATATATATATATTATATATATATATTATATATATATATATATTATATATATATATTATATATATATATTATATATATATATATATATATATATATATATATATATATATTATATATATATATTATATATATATATATATATATATATATATATATATATATATATATATATATATATATATATATTATATATATATATGTATATATGTATATATGTATATATGTATATATATATATATGTGTATATGTATATGTATATATGTATATATGTATATATGTATATATGTATATATATGTATATATATGTATATATATGTATATATATATATA